TATATATAATATATATTTATATTATACCCATACACTTACACACATTAACTTCTATTATTTAATATATATATATTCTTATTTTCTTGATATGTTTCCAACAACATCTGTGTTAATTCTTTTCTTTTATATAAATGTAATATCTATAAATATAGAATTATATTCCTAATCGGTATGCACACAAGTCCCACACCATATACACGTGCATACATATGTGCAAGTCAATGACATCGTGTGCCTTTCACCAACTGGTCCGTACAATGTGTATGCGTGAGAATGCGTATGTTTGTGTGGTAACCATGAGGAGGATAAGTTCAACGGATGGGCCTCTTCCTTTTTTACCCTCCCACCTCCCGCCCCTTTTTCTCCCTATTTTACTCTCCTCTTCGTTTCCTTCTTTTTCTACCTTCTTCGTTCACTACATTTCTTTCTCATCGTATTGTGATAGATAGAGAACGAGTTAGTTTTATATATTCCACAAAGTAGAATTATTTTAGTATATATCATAGTAGAATTATCTACAATGCTGGGAGGGGAGAGGGGGTGAGTTTGACACCCTGGGTCAAATGCATGGTTAAATCCATGATTTAGAATTTCTTATAGAAATTATTCAGAAAATTTCAGCTTAAATTCTGTAATAATTTAATCAGACAGTGTTAAATGTGATTTGAAAAAACATGAAACAATAAAGATATAAACGTTTTGTTTTACTGGAATTTAAAAAAAAGAAAATAAGAAGAATAAAAACAACGATTGAGAATAGGCAAAAGCGTTAGAGCGTATTATTATGTAAAAATCATAGGATACGATGAAACAAACCGTTGCAATTAAAGTTACACGCTCGTTTTCCATTCGTAAGAATTCTTACGTCTTCTTTTTCTTCTTCTTACGTCCGTGAAATAAAGACGAGATCTAAACATAGGAAAAAAAAATAAAGAAGGAAATAAATCGATTGGTAGTCGAGACAGAGAAATATGGCAGTCGAGTTTTATTTCTTTTTTTATACACCACTATAGTAGAATATTGACGTTAGTAAGAAGTATAAATGGAAAAAGATTATACGAAAGGTCAGGGTCTGTTTGTAAAAAAAAAAGAAGTTCAATCAAGAGAGGAAGAAATATTAAATTAACCATTTTTCTTATTTAGGAACACAATTATTTTGTTCGATTTATCGATTACCAATTATAACGAAGAAGTCGTCTTTAAATAAATAAATTCTCAATATTTCTTTTTCATTCGCGTTTAATTATTTCATATCTTTTTTCTAATTTTATCCAAATCGAATGGATTTTTTTGAAGAGAAAGATTTACACAATTCATTATTTTATCGAACATTCGTAATTTTTCTTTTCTTTTTTTTTTTAGCAACAATCAAACACGATAACGAATAAAATAAATTGCATTTTGTTCAAATACTTTTCCTATTCGATAAAAGATTATTTCATTGATTATATTTATTTTTTATTAAAAGAAACATTGAAAAAGGTGTAACTTTACATTTTATTTCTTCTTTTGTACGATGATGAGATACAAAACTACTCGAAATTTCTCTCATATTTCATCTCAAACATATTCCATAATTGTTGATGTATAAGTTAGATTTGAAAAATTCTACTTTCGGTTATTTCGAATAAAAGAAATTCAGCAATGACCGGTTTCAATGTTATACCGTGAACGAGATTGTGTCATTCATTCTGATTTCCAATGAAACAATCTTGTTCTCGCTCGAACCATTTCACTTTTTTTTTTTTCCCCCTGGACGACTTATTAAAAATGATAAGTATGAAAATAAATGCACGATATCACAGAGAACGAATGGATGAGGGGGGGATAGGGGCGGGGGAGATAATTGGCTCGTAAATCATTTCAAATTCTCGTGTAATATATTCGTGATAATGTAAAGCAGAAAACAAATAGAACAAGGATTGATAATCTCGTTTACATATTTTCTATTCATTTGTATTTTATTATCTTAAATGAAAATTTGTAATTGGATGAAAGGAAAAAAATATGAAACTGATGATTAATATGTAATGAAATATTTGATTATTATTATTTTATTCTATTCTTTTTGTTTATGTCATTTTAATAAAATCTCGTAGGTATTTGAGAATTGTATTTTCTTTGAATGTAACTAACATAAGCTTAGGTGGTATCCTTTGTCTGGCAGCCACCGAATGGTATTTTACTTGCAATGCATTCTACGGGTTTGCATATCTACCTAACATACTATACAAACGCCTATCGATTCTTTCCATTTCACGGTTATAACTTTAACACGCTCCGATGCATTCGAAACTATCCTGATTTCGCATATATATACATATTCGTGGTGTTGGTTTATATCGTTAACTATCATAATTATTATCCGCACTTGCATTCGTCGTTTAACTTAAGTATTATATATATATTTATCATATATACTTATAAATACAATTAAGAAAATTGTTTATACTTATTATATATATTGTTTATATATATATATTATATATATTATATATTTGTTTTATATATATTATATATTTGTTTTATATATATTGTTTATTTATTAATAAAATTCTTAAAGGTAGATATTTTAACAAGATTTTACAAAATATTATCTATAAATTTTGAATAATAGTCTATTTAAAAAGAAATATAACTTAAAAAACGTACAATGCAAAAGTGCTATTAGGATTGGGGCCAAATAGTTTCACCTTTGTTTCCTTTGACAAATTTAAATATCGTATATTCCTGACCTTTGTCACTTGTGCTCGTTATTTCAAAATTGTTACGCTATTATAAAACGAACCATAAAGGATAAATCATTTTTATCGTTTTTTAGGCACACACACACACCCTTCCCTCTGCCCCCAATTGTATCCTGAATTTTTGTCAAGCCTATAAAAGGAGTTATATAATTTAAAATCAATGAAATATTTTATTTCTAAAATATACAAGATAATACAATGAATGAACAATTGTTTCTAAAATATTAAATTTACTTTGATATTTAAATCTATAATTAATAATTGCTATAAAGTATCTTTTATTGATCATTAAAATCAAGATTATAATAGAATAAGATGTGTGTAATACTAGAAGAGAAATTAATTTTAAAAATTTGTTTCGATATTTCTATGTAATTTCATATTCAACCAAGTCAATAGAAAAAAGTTAACTTTCTCTTATTAATATTTAAAAGAAAATGACTAATATTTAAAATAATACTTTATATCTTAATCATCATTTTAATAATTCAACACATAATAATTTAATAATTATATAAAATACAATATAATAAATTTATAAAATAATTCAATCAATCATTTTAATAATTCAACACACTACATATATCGTATAATTCTGTATATTATAATTGAATACAAGAACAACACACACACACAGACACAGATATAAACGTGAATAAAAATATATAACGTCAAGAATAGGGGGGGACAAAAAAAAGGATGAAATCTGGCAGGATCATTCAACATTATACCGAAAAGTATTTAAAAATACATCTGTCGATGGTATTTAAAAATAAACACGCAAAGGTATTGCCATAATCGTACGTTTTAAAAGCGTATGAGCCAATCCAGGATATATTTATGATAAAGTTATTCCTGAAACATTGTCGACGGAACGTTTACCGTAAGGACGATGCTCCAAACAGGTAAAAAGGATCGAGCTTCAGACAACCTGGTCTCAGGATGATCTCACGACCGTTATGTCGGACTAGCGACGCCCATCTCTCCTCACGTTTTCTTTCTTACATACATAAATACATATATATATACAGGGTGTCTGAGGTTTTTTCGTACAAACGTTGTGAAACTATTTTAGAATAATCTTAACTTAGTTTAAGAAATTTTGTTATATTATTAATAGAAGAATATACAATCAATCAATTCTATATATTAATATTTAATTAAATACATTAACATGAATAATAAAAAATGTTACAATTAATAAATGTAAACGTGTGCATAATTCTGACATTTTTACATTAAGAAATTTTGTTGTGTTATTAATGGAAGAAAATACAATTAATCAATTCTATACATTAACATTTAATTAAATACATTAACATAAATAATAAAAAATGTTACAATTAATAAATGTAAACGTGTGCATAATTCTGATATCACGTTAAAAAATTTGGTTGTATTATTAATAGAAGAAAATACAATCAAACAATTTTATACATTAACATTTAATTTAATACATTAACAAGAATAATAAAAATAAAAAGAAACCATTTCTTTCCAAATTTATAAAAATGAGGTTTGATAATGAAGATGAAAATTTCAAATGACTTTTTATTCAAGTTATTACAAAAATTTAGAATCGTTATCGCAATTATTGTTTTCCACGATTACGTGTCTACCTGTATCAATTGTAAATAGTTCACAAACGTTAATATTCGTTTCTGTAGCATGATTTTCGTAACATCGCAGGGATATTTTCAAGCATGTCGTTTTGGCAATGAGCCCATCGAACGGACGAACGGCTGCTCGCCCTTTTCCACCTCGGCCGAGTTCCTTCAGCTGAGATTTAACCGCATTACCTTGACACAAGTCGTGAATTAGAAAAACCTTGATGAAAAAAACAAAAAAAAACAATGAAACGAACGTGTCCCTTATTTCTTTTCTTTTTATTCTTTGAAAATACAATTTGTTCATTTTGATATTAAATATACATGATAATAAATATACATGTATATGTTACAGATTATTAGGTATTGTAGATAATGCTTAAAACTAGTTAACAATGTATAAAATGTATTCGTATTTCAAACGTTTCCTAGACATTTTATAGAATTGCAAATGATACTAGCAAAGTATGAAATTCATTTTTGATTCGTTTCGAACATCACACACATGTTTCTCATTTATTTTTTATTATTTATATATATTTATATTATATATATTTATTTATTTTTTCATAATAACATTTGTATTTTTATTTTTGATTATTTATATATATATAATAATATAT